CCCACTCGGGGGAACAGGCATGCCTGTGTCCTGTCCCAGCGCTCCTCTCAGCAGACAGGGGTAGCCTCAGCTCAGCTCGTGGCGTTCCCAGGTGAGCAGAGAGGGGTGCCAAGCAGGCGGAGAGGCCCGGACAACAGGCACTTCCTGACATTTTATGTGTGCGGGAGGAAGAGGCATGAGTGCCAGGCTCAAGGCAACGGGCAGACCAGGTGGGCGGGAGCCGACAGGCAGGCTGCCCGGCCACCCACAACAGCCGCCTCCCTGAAACCCGAACCACTTCTGGGCACACTCAAGGACAGCATTCTCCTCAGTAGCAAGCAGTGTACCCAAACCACTAATTCTGAACCAAACTCACACTGAACAGAGGTTTGGCAACAGTCTTCTGCATACGAGGGAAACGTAACCTCCAACCCTACATCTGAGGGGAGGAAGGAGATGGATGTGTACTCAGAGCGGTCATTCCCACCTCTCACAACTGTCTGCCTCTTTAAAAGCACAAGAGCACTCCAGACCCCTGGTCCTCAACCTAAGTGTGACTTTGCCCCACCTCCTCCAGGGACTCTTAACAAGGTCTTGCAGTTATTTTCAGCTGTCCTGAGAGGAGCTGCTGGAGTAAGTGGGTAGAAACTGGGGATGCTGTTAGACATCTCTGAAGCAGAGATCAACACCACCATTACCACTCTACACCACACAACCAAGAATCACCAGACCCAAATGGTCAACAGCGTCAAGGGCTGAGAACTGTCTAGAAGGAGACTTCTCCTTCAGGGCTGTGCATTCAGTCACTTTCAAAAGTACTGTTCCTACCCTCAGGTCCTCAGATCCCTGCCCAAGGGGACAGGTCAGTACCTGGGCACGGGTCTAATCATCCAACTTGACTCCCCTTGGTCCCCAACTATACTTCTTGGAGCTCCCAGCAGGGGGTTAAATGGATAGACACCCGTGGCCTTCTGGAAGAGACCAGGTCTGGGATATGAGTAACAGGCAGAGCCACATGTGCAGAAGTAAAGGAGAGGACATGTTCAGTGCCAAAACTCGGTAAATAGAGGCAGGAAAAGCCCAATGTAGACCCAAGTTGCCCTTCAAGATGACTGTTACATATAGAACAGCCAGTACTTCAAAAGGAGAGCTCCAATCACTATAGAAAACAGTATGGTATGCAGCCTAGTGTGGTGGTGCATACCTATAATCCTAACACTCTGGGAGCCTGAGGCAGGAGGACCACAAATTCAACCCCAGCTCCAATACCTTAGCAACTTAGTGAGACCCTGTTTCAATTTTTTTAAAAAGTGTGCACATGAATATACAGATACTGATTTATACTTCTTGGAGGAAGGATAACAGCTTTCTTTGGACTCCAGAGGGGCCTGTGACATAAGTTCTAGATTCAGGTTCAGATGCACGCTCTTCACTGAGCACCTGCAGACTGTTCCTCAGTGACATTCCAGGGCAGATCCAGGAGCTTTGGGGAGTGCTGCTGCCCAAAAAGACTCACAGATGAGTATACTATAGAAACCCACATAGGTACCATGGGGTTTGGATTTCACAATTTTACCGAGGCAGCACTGGAGAAGATAAGTGAATGCCTTACATTTTGGAAGGGCCTCTAAGAGCAGCAGTGAGTACACACTCTTCCTAAAGAGCAACCCGTCAGCAAGACGGCCGTGAGTGCCTGATACGCAGAAGGCAAGTAGCACAGGATGCCCTCCCACCAATGGCCCACAGCCCTACAGTCTGTGCCCTTGGCAACTAGCACTACACTGGACCAGAAGGTGGAAGGTCACACCACCCTCCCCCTCTGAGGAAGCGCACAGGACACATCTTTGTGTCAAAGAACAGCTAGCTTATGAGGAGAGCTCAGGAAGTCAGTCACAACTTGATGGGATTCGCCCCAGCCAAAAGCTCCTGACGTTCCATGCAGGATTCTGCTCCGCCCTGTCCCCACAAGCCCTCTACTCTGAACTCCAAGTAAGAGAATGTTGTCAGGAGCTCTTGCAGGATAGAGTATGTAGGCTGTCCACTGCAAAGTAGAGCCAAGGACACTGGTCCACATAGACCACAAACAACTTCAAAAGTGATCAACCACTAATTTACAACATAAATACCTTCTGGGCCTATGCAGTAAATTACAGGAGATGCCAGCCAACTTTGATCAGAATAACTAAAATGCAAAAAGTAGGAAATAAAATGTTCTATAAGTGTAAATACAAGATTTTGAAGACAGAAAAACGTCAAATGTCTCATCAACTGTTTTAAAAGTAAACAGTATTATCTGTCATAATTAATTTCACCTCATTATGAAAAAGTCTGTTCTCCTCACACTCATATGTGAAAGCCCTAAGCCACAGCATAATAGTATTTAAAAATGGGGCTCTCAGGAAGTAATCAGAGGTAGATTAGCTCGTGAGAGGGGGGCCCTTGTGGTGAGATTAGTGCCCCTATAAAAAAGAGAGTGAGAGCTCCCTCCACCTGACTTTCCTGAGACAGCAGTCTGCAAACAAGGAAGAGAATCCTTGCCAGACCATGCCAGTACCCTGACTTCTGGTCTCCAGAACTACGAGAAAATACACTATTGCTGTTAAAGTCTGCCGGTCTGATTATTTATTAGGGCAGCCACAGAAGATTAAAATGCAGCTAGGGCTGGGAATATAGCTTAGCGGCATAAGTGTCTGCCTGGCAAACACAAGGTCCTCAGTTCGATTTGTGGGACCTAAAAATAAATAAATAAATAAATAAATAAATAAATAAATAAAAATACAATTATTCCTGACAGTTGTGGCAATGTACACCTGATCCCAGGGCTCGAGAGGCTGAGGCAGGAGGACAGTCATTGAGATCAAGGGCAGCCTGGGCTGTCCATTGAGAACAAGGCCAGCCTGAACCACATAGAAAGACCCCATCTCAAGAAAATAATTAAAATTAAAATTTAAAAAAGTACAGCTATTCTTTTTACAACATAAGTACTAGAAAATTTTAACTTACATGTACTACACATGGCTGATCCTACGTTTCTGTCGTGCAGCACTGGTCTACATCTCCCTTCTACCAAAACAGTGTGTGCTCAGGGAGTGGGAGTAACATAAACGGCCAACCAGGAGGATTAAGTTAAACCCACTGTAAAGCCAAAGAAACAGGAGGGCCAGCTCTGCCCCAGCCTGGACCCAGGCCAGTTCTTCCCATAGTTCCTCTTGGGGCAGGGCAGCAGCCAACCACAGTAATGGTCTGAGTGACCACAAGAAAAAATCCACTGATTCCACTTCCTCCCCGGCAGGAGACAGGCCTGGGAGTCTGACTTCAACTGTCCCCTAACCAGATAACTACTGTGCTCAGCTCTGCCCAAGGGGTGAGAAGAAACAAGAAACATGGCCCCAGGGCTCTAACCCACCCTGCTTATTATACTTAATGAGCAAGATGAGACCAGCCACTAGATGAGGGTGGGAAGTGGTCCCCCATCCCACATCTGAGGCCTGATCAGTCCTGTGAAGGATCCTAACAGGGCTTAAGAGTCCAGACTGACCCAGAATTTGGAGCTCAGGTGGCCTCCAGAGAGCCAGACAGGCCACGCATGGCTTCAGGGCAGCCTACAACTGCCTCCCTACAAGCCCTGTTTTGGGTGGAGAAAAACGTCTCTCAACAGCAGCACTTTAAAGGCAGGAGACTAGAAAGAAACAAAATGTTCAACCTGAACACAGCTTTGCCTCCACCACTCAGAAGTGGCTCCAAAAGAGCCACGACGTCCGGTCCCTTCCCACACGGCGCCCAAGTACCAAAGGAGTTGTCCCAGTCCTGGTGCCTGCACATGGGCTCCGAGTTTCCCCGTCACTAGCAACATAAAAGGACAGTCTCACCAACTGGCCCAAGAAGCGAGCGGAGACAGGAGTGGAGACGCAGCGGACATCCCCGGCTCCTCCACCCACCCGCCCGCCCGCCACCGCTTGGGGATCCCAGCCCCTCCTCTACACGCCCAGCCCCGCCCCTCACGGGTTTCCCAGGCTCCGTGCAGCAGCCACCTCGGGCTGCAGGGACCCGCACTGCCTGTGTAATGGGGGTTGGGAACAAAGACGCACTGGACCCAACGCCCAGCAGTCGGGCACTAGCCGCCTCCACTGCCCCGAACTTTTACTGGAGCTTCAAGGCCGGGCTCCCCATTTCTCGGGACAACCCAGACCTAGTTTCCGCGCGCCCACCTGGCTTGGGCAAGCCCCAGCACACTAGGAGAGGGAAATAGGTGCTTCAGGTTGAGAGGGGAAAGCGCTTTCCCGGCGCGCAACTCCGTGAGTATCCAGCCGCAAGTACCCATCTCCCCAACTCGACAGTCACGAGCGCTGCGACCCAAAGGCTGGGGCTGCCGAGCTGAAGGCGGGTCACCCACGCCAGCCACGTGCCTCTGGGAGGCCGGGCGCACGGAGACCTGTTGGTTTTCCTTCTTAACCCGCTCCCCTCCCAGTTTGCCCCAAACAAAGCGACCCCGCTAGATAAGCGCACTTTTCATCGGGGGCCCACAGCAAGAAAAGCAGGCGCAGGTGGCAGCCTGGTGCCAGAACCGACCGTGCACCGCGCGCGGGGCAGCCTGGCGGGATGAGGCAGGGGATCGTCCGGCGGTGAAGCCGCCCCTTCGCGTCGCAACCCCTAGTGAAAGGGCGCGCAACCCTCCCCGGCCACGGCTGCCCCAGTCCCGCCGCCCCCATTACATCTGCCCGCTCCGCTTGGCTGCCTTCCCCAGGTTTGGCTTCTCACTCTTTCTCCCGGTTCCACGCATCCGCGCAGCCCGAACCCCGACCCCGACGCCCCGGGGCCCGGCCCTCATCGCGGGGCGCCTCGGCAAACCCGAATCCCGCAGACGACAGCACGGACGAGCTTGGTCCCGGAGACCCGCGCGCGCCCCACTCCCCGCCCGGGGAGGTGCAAGCTGGGCAGGTGGCGCGGCGACGAGGCCGCGGGCCCGCCCTTTGTTGGTAAACACCGCGCGGCACCCTCCCCACGCCGCGCCCGGTGCTCACCAGCGCACAGCGATCCCCAAAGGAGGGCGAGGGCCGCCCAGGGCGCCGTCATGTTCCGCTGCGCCGCCCCGCGCACACCGAGCCCCAGGGCAGGGCCGCGCGGCGCCCGGAGGAGCGCAGGGCCCGCGGCGGCGCTCTCCTTCCCGCTCCCTCCTCCGGTCTCGGTCGGCGCGCGCTTCCTGCGCCTCCGTCCCCGGGCAGCGTGCGGGCTCCGGCTCAGGGCTGCTGCGGGCGACGCAGACTGCGGCCCGGGCTGCGGGGCGACGCTGGGGCCGGGGGGCGACAGCGGCGGGGCGCAGGCCGGGGCGCGCCCGACCCAGGCATAGCGCAGCGGGGCTGGGCCCGGGCCCCGGGCGCAGGGGCCGAGTCCGGTGGGGCCATGAACGGGGGGAGGGGTGGGGGGAGGGGAGCTGAACCGAGTCCAAAATGGCTCCTGAGCGGCGGCCGCGGATCCGAGCCAGCGGGGAAACCCGGATGTTGGATACAAAGAGGCGGGCGAGCTGGGCGGGAGGGGGAGGGGAGGCGGGCCCTCCGGCCGCGTGGTCCGCGCCCCCCCTCGGGGCGGGGCCGCAGAACAACAACAACACGGAGGCCGAGGCCCCGCCCCCAGCTGCGCCCCCGGGAGGCGCGCGTACCCGAAGCCGGGCGCCGGGCGCCGGGACGCTGCGCGGATCGCGCCCTGCCTCGCGGGGGCTCCGCGGCCGTCCCACCGGGGCGTCCCGCGCTGCACCTTCCAGTCACGCCCCCAGCGCGCCAGGCGGACCTCGGAGGGTGGACGGCACCCGGACTCCGGCCAGAGCCGGCTGTTTCCCAATTCCCAGGAGGAGTGAGCGAATCGTGCCGTTATTAATGCGCCGATTAATTGGCAGAGAGAAGTTAACTTCTCAGAAGGGACACACAGTCCCCCACGCCACGCGCACAAAGGCCCCGGGGAGCAGGCTTTGAACCCTGCGTGCCGAAGCAGCAGCTCACCCCGATTCCTCCCTCTCCTCTTCCCGGCGGGGCTCGGGGAGGTCGCGGTAGGCCTCCCAGCTAAAGCGGGCTATCGCATCGCCGCGAAGGGATGAGGCTGCAGGAGCCTGAGGCGACCTCATCGGGAAAGCGAAGTGCGCCTTGGGTTGAACCCAGTGTAGCGTGCTCCACTCCTTTCCCACTGCGTTATACCCTATCCCGCCTGATTTAGGGGTTTTTAATGATGGAAACCTAGGCGGTATCTAAAGTGGACTGTATATTTCCTGGAGAAGTGGAAATTGGGGTCAGACTCCAAAGCAACAGAAACACCCCAAGGACTCCACCTTGGAGTCACTATCACCCAAAATTTCTGAGTCTCCAAGGGTCTCTGTGCTTCTGGAAAATCCTATGTAGAAAATGATGGCCCCTCCTTGCAACACCCCTTACCAGTGTTCCATTATCTGGGCCTTATTTTATAGCACAGGAGGGTACTAGTGTGGCAAGCAGCAGTACTGTTGGCAGGATGCCTTGGCTATGTGTAATACGGTGTTTGGGAATCCCACAGGAGGCCCTGCAGTGGTAGGAAGGCCAAGCCCAGAGCATGCACAAGGTATGTCATTGCCTGCTCCATTCTGGAAGAAGCAAGTATAATCCATGTGCCAAAAACTAGATCAGCTCGTGCTTCTATTCCACACTAGTCAGGTGGCACAGTAAGGGCTCAGAGGGGTCCACGTTGGCCAGCATGTCTGTGTATACTGTGCTGACCTTTCTGAATTTGTGTATCCAGCTACCTGCTTGACAACTGATGATGCTGGAAAATCGATGGCCAAAGAGAAGCTATGCACTGTCTGTAAAAGGGGTGAATATTCTCGACTTAATATGAAAAGGAGAGGGATGTATAGAGAAATTGCTGACATCTACAGTGAAAGCAAAACTTTCAGTGAAATTGTGAAGAAGAAAAAAGAAATTTGTTCTAATTTTGCAGTCAGACCTCAAGTTGCAAAAATTATGGCCCCAATGTTGATATGCTTTTTTTTTTTTTTTTTTTGTCTTTTCCATTTTTATCTGTACCAGGGATCGAATTCACGACTGCCTGCTTGCAAGGCAGGCGCTTATGCCGCTGAGCTAAAACCCCAGCCCCTGTTGATATGCTTTAAGATGGAAATGCATTAAACTCGAGTTTGGTGTTATCCGAGGTTTCAGGTATCCACTGGGGGTTTTGGGCAGTACCCCCATGCATAGGGAGGACTAATGTACTCTTGCTTGAAATTCTCCCCTTGGATCTCCTTACGCTGACCAAGAAAGCTCTGTGTCATCAGCCCGTTTTACCTCTGTCATCTTACCTGCCGCACACGGCTTTCTGTTCTTCAAACATGTTAAGGTTGTTTCTGCCATAGAGGCCTCATGCCCTCCATCTCCAATGCCGGAGTCTGTCTGTCCTGGCTCTCTTGCAGATCTGAAATCCATAATGTTGAGCTCATGAGATTAGCCTCCGTCTCTACCCTTTTGTCCACAACTCCAACAAGCAAATATGAGCAAGGTAATGATGAGTATCTGAAAAGAAAATTTGGCCTCGGTTTGCTGTTCTTTAAAAGGTCAGAAGCACTAGACACTTCCTCTGATTTCGAGTGGTAACTGGAAGCTTAAAGGCAAAAAGGAGGGGCTTGGGATTTAGCTCAGCGGCATAAGCACCTGCCTTGCAAGCAGGCTGTCGTGAGTTGGATCCCTGGTACCGATTTTAAAAAAAGGAAAAAGACAAAAAAAAAAATGTTAAAGGCAAAAAGGAAAGAAAAAGTTTAGTCAAAAGACCAAATTCAGGGCCTTGAGTCACACTGAGGTATAACTCGAACACACCCAGTCCCTAAAGTATGCTCTTAAGGAAATCAGAATTTTTAGCATTATTTTGAAGACCGTGCTTCAGAAAACAGAAGCTTGACTGTAAGAGGCCGTGGCTAGACTTGCTATTGTGGGTAATTTAGGTACAGCAGTACCACACTGGGGTACAGTGCACGCTTCATGGTGAGATGGTGTGTGGCTTCTTTGGCAACATAGTCCCCCCCCACACCCAAAATAAGGTATCTGTTTTTTATGTCCTAGACATCAGTCTCACGTTGCTTTATTTCTTCGCCTTGCCCCTCTCCTTCTGCCTAGCACCCTGTTATCACCCTGTATTAATGGTGGCTACCTTCAGGTCAACTAAATGAATTGGCTCAGGTAGAAAGGTAACACTCTGTAAGAAATAGTAGGTAACACTCTGGAAAAATAATAGGTTATGCTATGCTAATGGAAAAACTCCAGACCTTAAATGGCTTAAAACAATAAAACTTTTCACTCACCCTACACTGTATGTCCGTTATCAGCCACCAAGCAAGCTCTAGTCATGATAACTCAGGGACTCAAATAGGTTAAAAGGACCACTTTGTGTGTGTGTGTGTGTGTGTGTGTGTGTGTGTGCGCGCGCACACACCTGTGCAATGCTGGGGGTTGAGGCCAAGGTCTTTGCACTGAGCTACATCCCCAGCCCTTTTTTTATTTTTATTTTGAGAGAAGGTCCCATTAAGTTGCTAAGTTTCCCTGGTTGAGCTGGAACTTGAGATCCTCCTGCCTCACCAGGGATCGCAGGAGAATGCCACAGACCCTGCTGAGAGGTGCAGTTTGAATCATACTGCTCCTACTGGAGAGACAGGGAAGAGAGCGTGGTATACTACGTGCTGACTCTTAAAACTTCCATCAGATTCTGAAAAGGTGGTGGCTAGGACATTGGCTTCACAATATTTGAATCATTTAGAACCTCACATGAAAATATTGTGCAACTACATGGAAAAAACAGAAAATCTAAAGACATTCACAAAAATCCAGGTTTTCCTCCAAAATAGAAGCAAAGGGAGACAAACTACTAATAGCAATGAGAGCTGCATGGGCCGACATCTGTGCTAGAAGAAGCAGAGGGACACAGAGCGGGTAAATGAGGTACCTGACAAGGTGGAATCCCTGAGAGGTGTTGGTACCAAAAAAAAAAAAAAAAGTAAAGAAAAGAAATATAGTTACGGGGCTGGGGGTTTAGCTCAGCGGCATAAGCGCCTGCCTTGAAAGCAGGCAGTCGTGAGTTCGATCCCTGGTACCGATAAAAAGACAAAAAAAAAAAAAAAGAAATATAGTTACAATTGTGAATACAAGCAATAGATAATGTTAAATGCTTATATTAGAAGTCAACAATTTAAATTCCCACCTTGAAAAACTAGGAAAAGGAGAGTTAAACCTCAAGTAAAATACAGTGGGAGACAATTAAGGGATAATTATTCTGATAGTCAACTTTTTGTCACTGGAACAAAATACCTGAGATAAATCAACGTTAATTTAGCTCATGGTTTCAGAGGTTGCGGTCCATGGTCACTTGACCTTCTTGCTTTAGGCCTGATGTACAGCAAAGTGCATCAGAGTGGGAGCACATGGCGAGTGGGAGAAAGGCTGAGGATGTAGCTCCATGCAAAGAGAAAGCTGCTTACTTCATGGCAACCAGAAAGTAAAGAAAGAGACAAAGAGAGACCAGCATCCTAGGCTCCTCTCCTAGGCCACACACACAATGACCTAAGACCCCCACGTGGGCCCTGCCTCCCAAAGGCTCACCAGCTGTCACAGAACACTTCAATACATGAGTCTTTGGGGGACACTTCCAAATCATAGTAGTTCTGATCAATTTTATACTGATAAATTTGACAAGTTAAAAGGGAAGATTTAGGAAAGATATACATTATAAAATCCATACAAAATCTGAAGAGTCAAGTAAATTGAATTTGTAAGTTAAAATTCCCACAAAGAAATGGTTTTATTAAAGTGGTTATTGATAAGTCCAATCAAACATTTAATGAACAAATATTTTAGGAAACCAGTATCATTTTTTCTCACATGAAGACAGTATTTTTTAAAAAACTAAAATCCTTGTGAACTTACATGCAAAAATCTTTAACATGGTGCTGGTAAATTAAACCCCAAAATATCTCAGCACTCTGGGAGGCTAAGACAGGAGGATCATAAGTTCAAGCCCAGCCTAGGCAACTTAGTGACATAGTGAAATGGCATGACCCATGCGGCTCCTGAGGTTCCTGGGAGGTTCTTGGGGTTAAGGACCACGAGAAGATGAAAAAAAGAAGAGACAAAGCAGGGGTCAGGTGGGGCCCTTGCCCTCCTGATGGGAGGAAAGGTACTGCTCAACCAATGCAGCATGTTTGTTTATATACTGGGAAAGATGATACCAATTTCAGCCCCTCTGCCTAGCAACCCATTGCTTGGATTGTCTCAGGGCTTCGTGTTTTTCTGGGTTGTAGCAAGTTCTTCAATTGGTTGACCCCCACGCTCTTTGTTTTCTGATAGGGTCATCTCTGGGTCAATTTCTGGCTCCCAACAATAAAACCCCGTCTCAAAACTTTAAAGATGTAGAAAGGCTGAGGATGTAGCTCCATACA